AATGAACACAGAGGAGTTCTAGACAGCTGATATTCTTTCTACATGTAGATGAACTATTAGAAATGAGGAGTTGGGCTAGGATTTTGAAGTGCCTGCAGACCTTTTAAACTAATTTGGCCACAAAGGAGTGAAAAATATGTGGGCACATTTAGTGAGCATCTCAGTGACTTGGGAAAGGTTTGCAAGATTGGCTCCCAGGATTTCCAGACTGGGTCCTCTGTGGAGTGAGGGTGTCCTGTTGTTGGATTTGTGGGGGATCTGCCTAGTGGGTAGCTGACATGAGCAAAGCATTAGTAGTTGATGGTGCAGCTCAGGTCACTACAAACCTATCCTCTCCTACGTTCCCTGGGATGACGACTGAAGAACCAGGAACACAGAGTGTTTCTGAATTACAGTGGACACCTTGCCATGTATCTTATCCTATTGAGATCTTTTCTTCTGTGGGAAGTACATGTTTCTCTGAGTATTTGTCAGTCACTTTAAACCCACTCTCCCTACTTTCTTACAAGGGGTAACTGCCGTGGGAAAGGGATCTGTGCTTAGGATTTTGTCTCACCCCAGATTTGTCCATAATGTGTGTCCTTTTCCAGGGCCATTGGGGTGGTCCAGACAATGGGTGTCCTTCCCCAGTGGGTTTGGGGAGGTTCAGACCATGGGTGTCTTTCCCCAGTGGGTTTGGTATTACTTGAATAAAGATATCCTAACCTGTAACTTCTCGTAATAGGGAAGGTCCAGATTAGCTTCACCTTGGAGTCTTGAGGACAACAGATACTTATTAAGTGTTTTCCTGAGCTGCTCAGGTTGTGCAGCTGGCTTAACCTACCCCACCTCTCACAGGGTGTAGTCCTTCTGTCTTAACCACTTCTTCCATGCCCCCTTTCTTCACACCCACAGCTCATTCTTGGGGCCCAGTGTTACTGTTATGAGCAGAGGATTCTGCAGCTCTCACTTGGGGAGCCATTATGTTCCCAATCTGAACTCCCTACATAGCATGTGAGTGCTTGTACTTTTGGGAGTATTGCAGTTTCAAAGAGCCTTGGTAAGATATGCCTGTGATTCTTATTAGAATACAAGGGTATTTCATATTAGTCACTTGTTTTTTTATTTCACCTTGTTGGGAACTGAACCCAGGGTCTTGCACATGCTGGGCAAACACTACCACTAAGCTATGGTCCTAGGCCATTTATAATTAAGAATTTTTTTTTTTAACTTTTAGTGTGTGTGTGTGTGTGCGTGTGTGTGTGTGTGTGTGTGTGTGTGTGCTCGCACACGCACTCGAGCATGCATGAGTGCATGCGTGCTTGTATGGATGTACACACCACAGCATATACTTACTTGAAGGTCAGCTTTCTCCTTCCACATTATGGGTTCTTGGGACAGAACTCAGGGTGTTAGCCTAGCAGTAAGTGCCCTTACCCACTAAGCCATCTTCCTGGCTCCCATTTGTGATTTTAATGGCTCGAAATGCTTATTAAAGTCAAAACAAAGCTTTTGTAAACATTCATCTTAGTTGTGCAGTGACACTGGAGAGCAGAGTGTAGCCGTAGAGTGCAGAGCACACCAGTGGTGGGAGAGTAATGGGCCAATTCTGCACCTACCTTTTGCTTTCTGGACCCTCCTCTCCTACTTGTTGAGTCAATCATATCACATAAGTCATGGGATGTAGAGAAGCACCTTTGAGGGTGCTGTCCATCCTCACAGCTTCTTACAGTGATGCGTGTCAGCAAAAGAATGTAAAGCAGGGAAAGCCATAGGGAGAATACAGGCTCTAGAACTTACCATAGGCCCCCCGGGCAGCCTCACTTAAGAGGTGACAACAGGGCACGGGCCCTCTATATGATTTGTGAAGAGAGAAGTGTTAAGCTTAGGGTTAGGACAGAGACCATGACACACAGGGATTTGAGTTCACAGCAAAATATCAACTTTACTTCGAACAAACTGAGAAAATTTTGAGGAGGAAAGTTATTGATCAAGGCCTGCGTTTTCATAGAATCTTGCGACAGCAAGTTGAGTACAAGCAGGAGTGGGCAATATGGGGACAGAGGCACCAGCTTCTAGAACATTTTACAACACAGCTCAAGGTGATGGTACTAAATCTAGGTGTGATGGTCTATACCTGTAATCCCAGCAGTTGGGAAGTAGAGGCAGGAGGAGCAGGAGTTCAAGATCACTCTTGGCTACACCAGAATGCGACGCCAGCCTGGACATACAAGACCCTGTCTCAGAAAATAGAAACAAACAGTTTAAAAGATGAAGATAGTAAATTAAGACCAGTGACAGTGATGAGCAGACTCGGAGCTTCCAGAGGTACCATCCCTAGTATGTCCCATATCAAAGCAGCCTCTTAGAATTGTTTCATGTGGCAGATTCAGCAGGAGTCTAATTCTACAGTATACATTTTGATCTGCTGATGCAGGATGTGAGGAAGACAGTTGTCAAGGTTAGCTCTATGTCATGGTCTGAGCAGCTGGGAAGTGCCCAGTAAGAGGGAGAATATTGAAGGTTGTGGGTAACAGCAGGAGGGCAGGTGTCAACACAATGGGTTTAGAACTCTGTATTCAGCAGTTACAAATATGTAGATACCATTCACAGCTGTGGGAATGAATGAGACTGCATCACAACTGAGCACGGGAAAGTGGAGACCACCAGAGAATAAGGAGAGCAACCAACTTGCATGAATTCTAACACATGATGCTCAGAATTTGGGCATAAAGAAAAGATCCAGCCTGAGAAAGAATCGCAGCAGTCTGAGTGTGGAAGAAATCCAGCCACAGAGTTTCCCTGAAGTCACCCGAAACCATGCAAAGAGGGTATTTAAGGACAGACACGGGGCTGATAGAACTCTTCCTTGCATTACACCCTGGCCTTCATCTCCAGCAACATAAGGTCACCAAAAATTTGCAGGAGATGTGAAGTGGCAAATATGAGGTCCTTGGAGTTGCCAGCAGGGGTGGCTCTCTGGCTGCTTGAGCCCTTAAGTAGATGGCAGTGGAACATTTGAGAGCACTGTTGTCCACACCTCTCCAGGGCATTGGCAACAAGGACCCAGAGTCACCTTTATGGTGCATCTGGTGTCTGGAAGGGCCCTGAGAGAGAAGGCATGGCAAACCATCCTACTGGGACTACAATTCTTTCCTTCTCTTTCTTTAAAGAAAGCTAGAAGCTTTGGGCCCACAGCCTGGCACAGCACCAGAGGAGGGAATGTGTGAACATGCACTGCTGACTCAGCGCCTGGAACCCCTTGGGCTGTCCAAGCACAGTTGGTGAAAACTAACTCACTGGTAAAAATACACTAGGTGAATTCTTGGCTTGTTTGTCTGTTTTAGGCCGGGTCTCATATAGCCCAAGCTGCTTTAGACGCTATGTAGTTAAAAACGACCCTGGGCTTCTGATGCTCCTGCCTCCAGCTCCCTAGTGTTGGGATTGTAGGCACATGCTGCCATGCCCCATGGGGTATACTTGCTTCTTTTCCTGAAAGGAAAAAAAAAAGACTTAAAAAGAGGGAAGTGACAGTAAGAATGCTAAAACATAAATATTTTCAGAAGACAAAAAGGTTAAAATATTTTGCTACTAGTCATTTCAAGCAGAGGTGTGAAAATCACTTTTTAAAAATGCAACGAAAACAGGTGGTGGGTATGGGCTAGGCTTCTCTCAAATGGACCTTCCTAAGTTGGAGCATCTGTAACAAAAATATATGTGATTTCATTTATTTTAAATACAGTTTAAGGCAGGAGCAACATAAAGTAAAATTTACACAAAGGAATAACCAAAGATGGTTAAAATAATTAACAATTCCTTTTCTATACAAAGGAATATTTAAGTGTTTCATGTTATTTCTGTTAGCACTCAGGCATCTGTACAGGCTTGTCCTTGGGGTCCTGACAGGATATGTCCTCAGCTGCAGCCACTAAGAACAACCCTTGTCATATTCCCTACGTTCGCTTTTAAAAAGGCCCTGCCTGTCTCCCATCTCCTTCTTTCTCCCTCCCTCCTTCTCTCTCTTCCTTCCCCCTTCTCTCTCACCCTTGCTTCTCTTCTGTTCCCAGAGGCCCATTTTCCTTCTCCCCTCCCCCTTTCTCGTTCACGTCCCCCACTAACACCCCCCTCCCAAGCTCTGTCGCACGGCGGCATCTTTCTGTCAAGTGCTGCTTTTTAAAATTACAACACTTTCAACCCAAGCATTCCTCACACATGAAGGCTGCTGAGAATTCTGTACTCCGGAACACACGTATTTAATCCGTGTGTGTGTGTGTGTGTGTGTGTGTGTGTGTGCAGGTGTGTATATGCATTAGAATGTGTGTGGGTGCAGATGCGAGTGTTTGTGCAGATTGCACGTGTCCATGTGCACCTGGAGGCCAGATTGTTGTTAGTGTCGGCCTCGTCCCTTTCCACCTTGAACACAGAGCCCCCTGGTCCAGCCAGTCTAGCTCGACAGGGATCCTCTCTGCCTTCTTTCTCGGTTCTGGGGTTACAGGTGGAGGCCATCACACGCCCCTGACGTTCATGTAGATTCTGAGGGTCTGAACTCTAGTCCTCATGCTTGGCACGGCAAGGGTCTCGCCCTCTTATCTCTCCAGACCCTATGCCTTACCCCACTTTCAGACACTTGCATTTGTATCCTAAGTGGCCTGGGACTTGCTATGTAGATCTAGCTGGCCTTGAACTCAGAAATCCTCTTGCCTCTGCCTCCCACAGGCTGAGATCCACACCCAGCTCTACATATATTTTTAGAGTTAAAAGAATCCTTTTTTCTTATGAGTAAACAGCTTTTATTTCTAGAATATTTTGGTTAGACATTATTCAAATTATTATTAATTTCTTCGCTCGGGGTTTAACAAACAATCATAAACTACTTGATGTTGCTAGATTCCTGCTGTAACCTTAACCTACACACGTGATTTAGGAAGCCCCACTGGGTGTCTGTAGGGGATGTGGTATGTTAGAAACGGAACCCGAGTCATGACTCCAGGAAGCCACTAGGGGGAGACATCTCACCGCAGTCTTTTACGGACCTCGGCAAAGGTCGGGGCACAAAGTCGTGAAAGCTCTTCACTGTTCAGCTCTGACCACACTCTGCATGGGCCTCTTGCCTCCTGATGAAAGCTGTACGTCCTGAATCCTGGGTCTGAATTGTCTTTCTCCTCAGCAGGGTGTCTCAAAACCTGGCCCGAGGGTTATGCTATCAATTCCTAGAACGAGGGAAGCCATCGATGCTCGCCCAGGACACAGAGGTCATATGACAAACAAGGTGGCCAAAGAGGAGCCATCCACCAAGTCAAGCAGAAGGCCCTAGGGTGCCATATCCGAGAAGCGTCTTGGGAACGACAAATAGTGTGTTTCCTTCTGGCATCCGGAACTCAGTTGAAAATTTGTCTCTCTGCAGGCCTAACACCTACCCGAAGGATAGGCCCGAGGAAGTCACCAGACTCTCAGCGGCTCTTCTTGGCTCTGGCCTCCTTCTCTGGCAACCAAAGCTGCCAAGCAAGAAGGGATTCCCTTTCTTCTGGTCTTGATTCCCTGAGAAAAATGGAGCATCTGGTTTTACCCGAGACGGGTTCCTAAATGTGAGCATTTGTGAAAAAGAACAATACAATTTATTTTTCTTTACAGATTCCTTGAGAGCAGTGACTGACAATCAGGACATGATGGCTTCCGCCCCTAGGTATGGTTGAGGAGATTTTTATTGTAGATGTGTGGGAGAGAACAGCCAGAGGCATCAGGAAGAGTCCAGACTGAACATGGCCAGCAGAATAGACCAGGGTCATGAGAGAAGGGGCTGGCGGGGGCGAGGGGGTATGGAGAGCAAGAAAAGAAAAGAGAGATGCATAAGAGAGGGCCCCGGGAAAGGTAGAAGAACCAAGAGGAGCCAAGAGAAAGCGTGGCCGAAATGGCTGGGTTATATAGGAAGCAGAAGCTGGGGAAGAGAGGGAAGCAAAGTTCAGAGGCTGAAGAGGTTTAGGGTAGGGTGAAGGGGGAGATTGGGGACCAGGGTGGAGGGTGTGGTGATAGGGCGTGGTGAGAAGTGCTGAGAAGAGCCTGGACTCTACCTGTATCAGGAACTTGTGATGCTGAGAGAGCCTGGCGGCCAGTGTCTGCTTTTGTGAGTTAAATAGGCACCGCAGCTAGCCGCTGTCCTGAGTTCCCTTGGGACCTAACAGACAGGAGCAGCACAGGCCCTCCTGTCTGCACACACTGAACTGTTGTGCAAACTGACTCTCCTACACGCTTAATCACCAGGTGGCGCTGCTTCCGGCTTCCTCTCTTAATACAGAGGTGTCTCCAGCAAGAGAGGACACAGCCCGGGAAAAAGAGAGGGCACAGCACGGGTATTAACAGTGCATTGCCGAGGTGACTCACATCAGGCAGTTAGCAAATGCTCAGCCATGACCGCGGCTGTTAGCACTACTAAGCAAACATAGCTAATGAACGCATTAGCGGTTGGCTCTGTGCACCTATGAAAAGGAGGGGCAGACCTTACAAACAGCCCGGCTGCTCTGGTTATTAAATTAGCCATTAGCACAGGCTTATTTTTTAAAGTGATACCATTACCTCTCAGCACCCTGACCCTGCCTACTTTTCCTCCTTGACAGCATATTTTGAAGCAAGATGGAGGTCACCAACCCAGGGCTCAGGCTTCTGACATGGAAATGTCATTTTGGTTTGGGTCCAGGATGAGCAGAGAGAACTCAGGACTTTGATGGCTGTTTAGTGAAAAATGCAGCGTCCCAGATACTCAGTGTGGGCAAGTCTGGCACTGGGGTTGAATAATTCCTTGTTGCCAGGGGCTATCCTGCACGCTTTGGGCTGCTGACACCTTCCTCTGCTCCCACTCACCAGAGGCCAGAAGCAACTTTCCCTTACCTCACTCTGATGAAATTTAAAAACACTTGCTTATTTTCATGTCTATTTGATAAGTGATCTGTGATTAATGGTGGGCTCTAATATACTGAGATCCCTCATTTATGTTTAGTGGCTTGATGCAGTACACTTTTTACAGAGATTGCCTGGGGAAATTCTATGCATTACTATTTTATTATGACTGGATAATATCGAATAATGGCTTGGCTTATAGTCTTTTAAAAAGGAATTGTTATCTGTACCTTACAGAAGTGATTCCAGCAGATCTACTGATGAATTGAGGGAACCCCAGCAACCACATTGTTTGGGGAGCACTGCTCCTGGTCCCTCAGTAGCAACACCAGCCTAGGAGGCCTGGAAATACTGGTGACGTGGGAGGATGAATTAGACACTACTCCAGGAAACATTTAATGCTAATCCTGTGCTTCGTTTGTTGTCTGTTACAACTTGAAGCAAACTTATGGGATCTGTGGCCAGTGACTCACGTACTAGGGCGTAATCTTCAGCAATTTAATCTCTGTCTTATTTTCCTCATCTTCAAGAATTAGAATAAGAAGATGAAATGAAGTCACACCTTAAAGCATGGAAACATACACAGTGCAAGTTTTATTCTTGGACAACAGAACATCTGACATATAATTCTCTTGTCTGTATGTCATGCAGCTTAGGTCTAGCTCACACACACCCCTTCCCCCGGAGCCTGAGACTCTGTTTATAAAGGACCATGAGCTCAGATGGCAGTTCTTCCAGTGTTATGAATAGTGTTTCAGTGCTCCCTAGAAATTATGGTCGTATCTGCAGGAACAGCCAGGGTGAACACATACCGAATCACAACATACTCAACAAACCCATGAAGGAGGAGGCTCTATCCTCTTTCATGGACTGAGATGAAAATAAATGAATTATTTATAAAGTGGCATAGTTGGAACAGGGACATCTTAACAGCCTCACTCTCAACAAATGCATGCTGAACTGGCAGAGAATGATGGATATGACAGTTTAAATCCTCAAAAGGCTTGTGACCTGGCAGGTGACACAGACATGCCTAAAAGAATGTTGACGAGTCATTGTGAGAACAAGAGATCAGTGTTTGGTACTGTGGAATGACTAATAGGGCAATGATGGCTTTTTCTGGGAGTTTTTTTTTTTTTTCCTTAGGAGGATAAAGAGGCCCTTAAATGAGTGAAAAAGTCCAAGGCTGCTCCAGAATATAGAGCATAGATTGAATGAGGTCTCCATTGCTAAGGTGATAGTGATATCTACTGAGATATGATTTATGTTGTCATTGGTCACTCAGCCCATTATTTTATTACCAGGATTATCTTTGAGAAAAGAAAGATAATAAAATGCTGTTAGGCTTGAGGCAAAGTGGTCGCTAGTATTTGTCTTTATCAGTAAAATCAGCAAAATCGACAAGCCACTGGCAGACTCTGCCCTGTCCTGTAAAGACAATGTGCTAGTCTGACATTTCTGTGATGAGAAGCCGCTTTCAGCATGAGGTTTTAAAATGGCTGTCTTGAGTTTCATTCCGAGCTGGAAGTAATTAGAGAGTTCAGTGCCGTGCCCTTCCTCTGAGGATCCCCTTTCTGTGTTGAATACTTGCTTTCTGTGTTGTTAGGGAAAATGTGAGGTTGTGGGGCTCCACCTTGGGCAGACTGCCCACCAAGCATATGCCTGTGCTCTTCTTGTCTCCACTGATGGTCTTGAAGAAATGCCATGGGTCTGAAAACGCCCATCTGTAATGCTCTGTGGCTTTCAATCAGGGAATTACTTAAGGGCTGGGAAATCATAGTTTCCATTCAGTGCCTCTGATGGTCCAACAGAATGCAGTCTCTAGAAGCTAACATTTCACCATTGCATCGTGTGTTCCCCGACTCAAAGCTATGGACTCAATGGAGGCTTCATGCACTGATCTCCTTGGGACCAATGTTAGGATGTATAGGCAGAGTTACCAGCATCATTAAAAGCTGTTACAGAAGCCCGTAATAGCAAATTCCAAGCCTGCTGGAAGTGGCTTCTTCATGGAGGAGAGTGTATGTAGAGATTTGATAATGCATTGGAGAAAGGATGAGGGATGAGTTTGAGGAACTTGAGGACTATGAGGGGAGTAAAAGCACAGAGGCGACACTTCCCAGAGGTCTGCTGTGCAGACAGGTTCTTAGCATTCCAACAGCTGTTCGTCACCTGGATCAGTACCACACAAGACACAGACACACGTCCTATTTGCACTGATGGCAATTGCTGGCTGGGGATCTCAAACTTTTAGTGCACTGGGGGTAGGGAGAAGATGGGGAAAGAAGGATGAGAAAGGATTTCACGCATTTAAAAAACAAGTAGTGAAAGTGAGGAAAAGCCACCTCTCCTGCTACGAAGAGCCACTGATGGTGGGGGTTTCATAGGCTGGTGTTTGAAAGCTTGGCCCCCCAATAGTTAGTGGAACTGTTTGGCAAGGATTTATAGTATTGTTGGAAGAAGTGAGTCACTGGGAGTGAGCTTTGAGGTTTCAAAAACCCATACCAGGATATTCTCTCTCTCTCTCTCTCTCTCTCTCTCTCTCTCTCTCTCTCTCTCTCTCCCTCTCCTTTTCCCTCCCCCACTCTACCTGCTGCCTACAGATCAGGATGTAAAGTTCTCAGCTACTGCTCCAGCACCATGCCCATCTGCTTCTCAAAATAATGGCCATGGACCAACCCCCTAAAACTATAAGCAAGCCCCCAATTAAATGCTTTCTTTTATAGGAGTTGCCTTAGTCAGGGTGTCTCTCAACAGCAATAGAACAGCAATGAAGACACTGCCTGAGCTCAAATTCCAGCTCTTCTATTTACTAGTCTTTGACCACAACCATTTATTTAACCATCTTGTACTTCCATTTCTTCATTCATAGAGGGGGGACAATAATAGTATTTATTTCACAGGGGTGTTGTAAGAAATTAGATGCACTTAGGACAATGCCTGATAGACAATGAACATTCAAAATGTGATAAGCTGTTACACTCTCTTGGTATATATTATACTCCAAATATATATTTGCCTTTAAGCAATGACATACCTTGTATTTTTTATACCAACACACACACACACACACACACACACACACACACACACACACACACACACACACACACACACGTCATAATTACTGTTTGTACTAGTCAGGGTTCTCCAGAGGAGCAGAACCATCGGAATAGATATATTAAAAGGGTTTTGTTAGATTAATTGGTTTACATGATACACCCTGGTTAGTCCATGGATATCTGTCTCAGTCCCACAAACCTAAATGACTAGGAAGTCCTGTTTTGGTACTTAAGGCCTAGGGTGTTCCTGGAGGGCAACTGGTCTTCACTTTGTGTTGAAAGGCAGAGAGCTGGGTTGTGATGTCCATGAAGGATGGTGGCAGGCTGTGATGGTGGTGGCAGTGTTAGTGAAAGTGGCAGGAGCAGCGGCAGCAGCACAAGTAGGTGAAGTGAGATGTAAGGTAAGATCAAATTTGGGATGGGGCTTCCCATTTCAAATAACTTAATTAAGATAGTACCTCATGGGTGTGCCCAGAGGCTCCTTATGGGTGATTCTAGATCTTGTCAAGATGACAAATCAACAGTCACACTGCTTGTGGTAACTAAAGTCTCTATGTCTATTCTGTTTTTTCTCTGGATCTTTTTTCTCTATTAGTGACTGGGGACAGCCAGAGAGAGACTGACTCAGCTCCAGGGTGCAATGAAGGTTGGCCTGCCTCCTGCCTGACTGCCTCCTTCCTTCCTTCCTTCCTTCCTACCTTCCTTCCTTCCTTCCTTCCTTCCTTCCTTCCTTCCTTCCTCCCTCCCACTCTCCCTCCCTCTCTCCCTTCTTTCCTCCTGTTCCTCATTTCCTTTATTTTCTCTTTCTTTTTCTTTCTATAGTTTTAATTTCAAAGCATAGTCTTAGATTCATAGCAAAATTGAGAAGAATTGTAGCAATTCTTGTCTTCTTCCACACACAGCCATCCCCAGCTATCAACATTGCCCACCAGAGTAGGACTTTTGCCAACTGGTGAGCCTGCCTTTGCATCACTATCATCTAAGGTCCAAAGCTCACTACCCTGGCCTCACTCTTGCTGGTGTGTGTACTGTGTGTTCTGGCAAATGGCACACATCACATAAAGCACTGAACAGAGCAGCTTCCCTCCCTAACATTCCTCTTGCTACCTGGACCACCCTGTGACCAAGCCTTGGAAACTTCCAGTTTTTTTCAGTGTCTATAGCTTTACCTCTGCCAGAACGTCCTGGAGAGGACACTGCTCTGTAAGCTCTGGAAGGCTTTTTTCTGTGTCTGACTCAGCCTATTTCTGGAGATGATTTCTACCTGAGGTCTTCCAAGGCTCAGTGCTCACTGTGGTCTTTTTTCTTCTGTGTCTTTTGAGGCAAAACAACAGCAAAATAAAAAGCCCCTCTGTCATTTTCAGAGGCTCTTTGCTTGACTTTTAATGGAGCACCAGATTTGGTCAGACCGAGCTGTACACCTTGTTAGCACATTTGCTCAGAAGGCTTCTCTGGCTCCAGAAACCACAGTTCTGCCATCTCCTCATCCTTAGTGACTCTCTTCTTGTCATTGTCTGGCTTTCTGACCTCTCACCTAGTGCTCAGAGTGAGCAATTGTCCAAAGGAAAAGCCAGTTTCAAAACATCAACTTTGCTCTCCAAGTTGTCTCTTTTCCCAGGATCATCTTGCCCAACTCCAGACATCTCAGCAATCCTTCCAGACCCACCCCGATCTGTGGCCTTTGGCCAGCCTTCCCAGAAGCCTCAGCAAATCTCTAACCCTAGCTTCATCTCAGCTGAAGGAATTTCTGACAAACATTCGTGACAGATGATTTCTTATTTAGTTTTTTTCTATTGATTAATAAAATGATCATGGTGATAATGCTATAACCCTAACATTGAGGAGGTGATTGAAGAAAGATCAGGGGTTCAAGGGCAGCCTGAGCTATATGAGACCTTGTCTCAAGAAACATCAAGTCACACCAACCAAAGAGATTCATGATAATCTATTATAAACTTTAGGTGAGAAATCTATATGTCACATTGGCCATGTGTTTAATTTTACATGTCCTAAATTAGTATGTTGGTGTGTATGTTAATATACGTGTCATTAAATATTATTCTATGACTTTATGAAGTAATTTTTTATCATATTCATTTATTTTTATTTGTGTGTGTATGCCATAGGGAATGGCCCTATGACAAGATGTGGCCTTGTTGAAGGAAGTGTTTCACTTAGGGGGCTTGGGGAACTCAGAAGCTCAAGCCTGGCCAGTGTGGCACTTTACTTCCAGCTACCTGCCTATCGGATGTAGAACTCTCAGCTCCTTCTCCAGCATCGAGCCTGTCTGCACAGCACCATGCTTCCTATCATGACAATGATGGACTAAACCTCTGGACTGATTGTATGTCAGCCTCAATTAAATGTTTTCCTTTATAAGAGTTGCTGATGTCTCTTCACAGCAATAGAAACCCTGACTGAGACAGCCATCGTGTCAGCCAAATTTCTATGGGTTTTAAAATGACTATTTAATGATCGGAATCACCATATTGCACAGTGTTTGTGAAACCGAGGCTGGGTGTAAGAACTCAAATCTGTAACTCAGCACTAGGCAGGCACAGGTAGAAGGATCACCAGAAGTTTGGGAGTTTGAGGCTAGCTTGGTCTACATAGTGAAGTCCAGGCTAGCCAGAGCTACATAGTAAGATCCTGTCTCAAAAGAAAAGAGTAAAGTACAATAAAAGAACTGATTAAGAGATTGGGAGATATAATGTTTATAACTAAATGCTTTAATTCTAAATTTCCATTCTATATGGGTAGAAACTTAACCTCAGGAAATATGAGAATTTTCTTGGATTGTGTATTGTCATCAAGAAGCTTCTGAAGTGCCAAAGCATCAAGGCTGGGAGAGGGATCATTTGTTTAAGATGAACCCCCAGCGTGGGCACTTCATGTTTCCTCATAACCTACATTCCCTTTAGAGTCCGGCCTTTCTCTGAGCTCTTTTCATTCATGGATGCAGAGGAGATGTTCTGCTCCTCAGCCAGTCTAAAGAGAAGAAAGTACACAAGGCCTACCAGGGATGCTAACCCTGCACACACATTGCCCCGGCTCTGTCCCCAGTTTGTGACCCCAGTGCTTGACTCCAGTGTTTTCTTTAAGTTCTGAGGATTTTTAGTTTAACTAAAGATGTAATGTTTTGAAATTCAAACTAGGGACAGCCCTATGTGTTCCCTAAGGAATGGGAGCAGATGAAATGGTTAGTGTTCAATAAACACCACTCACCTGGATTCGGGTGCTCATATGCTCAGGGAGCCCCTAATCTGTGCTAGGGCTTACGTTAGACAGTGGACCAAACTGTTAAACCCCTCACCTTGCCTACCCCAGATTCAACAAGAGATATCAATGGGAAAAGAGGTGAGTTCAAGATTAAAAACTGAATACAAGTTCATTACCATTCCTCCCAAGATTATAAAAAGTGACTGTAAGGTCATTTTACATAATTAACAAGGCACAGTCACAAAAATAGGTATGGAGCATGTGGAATTCTGGAAATGAAGAGTTGGATTAGTTTTAAAACCAATGTTTTGTATGAGGCAAAGTTGAAATCACAGTTGGAACCAGGAATGCTGATGATCTGAAAGAAGGGAGCTCAGGAATAGTTTAGAGATTTTGGAGTAAGGGTTGAGTAAGGATTTATTGCGTGTCTGTGAAAGACGTGAATTAGCAGCTGAATATTCCAGGTGGGAGCACGTCTGAGCCCTCCAGGGGAAGTTGCCTGGAAGCAAAACCAGAAGAAACTAACACAGAAAAACTGCCCAGCTCACTCTCAGGGATGTATTCCAGACCCTATTCCTCTTGTCTGTCTGTCTGTCTGGTTCTTTTGAGACAGGGTCTTGCTGACCTTGAATTCACCTGTCTGTCTCCAGAGCTGATATGACAGGCAGGTATTGCCCCACATGGCTTTTACTTGAAGTGTGAGCAGACAGGCAGGAGTCATGCAAACTGAATGGATAGCTTGATGGACACAAGCAAATGAAATAAATACAGAAAAGCAGCAGCAGGGCTTAGAACAGAAAAACATCCTACAAACACATGAGCACTTACAGTTAAATGTAACAGAAAATTTCAGAAGGGCTTAGAGGATAAAATTAAGCAAATCATCCAGGAAGTCAATTTAAAAATTAAGAAATAGAAGAAGGAAAATACTAGGACTCAAGAAGCCCAACGCTGATACACATTAGTTCCAGAAAGAGAACATAAAAAAAGGTAAGATATTTGCAGAGAAATATTAAAAAGTTGTTCCTGGATGCTGTGTCAAACTTTTGAATCTTGTAGCTAAAGAAAAGACCCCGAGGAGTCTCAGAGATGAAAGAGAGCAAGAACCAAAGCAGTCTAGACTTCTCACCACCTCCCTTACTTCAAGCCTAGTTTCCTAGTAAGCAAGAAGATTTCAAAGATGCAAGTTCAAAACATTTACCATCCGGGCTGGAGAGATGGTTCAGAG